AATTCTCGGTCTAATACAGTCTCGAAAACCTTAAGTTTATTAACCGTAGTTTAGACTCATAACCTCATAAAGCTGTACATGTCTTCGTTTCCATGCAGGCACCTTCGGGCCAAAAAGTGGAGGAAACAAAGAACCAGACTTTCCCAACTAGGGTTTGTACTACGACTTTTGAGATTCACTTGCCACCGTCAATCAGTTCTACCTTCATTGCATTTGACAATGCCATCGATGTTCATAACGAGACTGCTGGTTTGAGACCTTCGGTATGTTTAGCTATCTCCGTTTCAGTCAGTCTATTCATTTCGAAGTCTTATTCAATAACCAAATAGTTAATAATAATATTATTATTAATTAATATTGTTGATCCCAGTTTTATGTTTTGGTCACGTTAAGGTGAGTTAAGAAGCAAAACATCTTTTCACTGTCAAACTGTTGTTTTGAGCAGTTCCATGGAAAAGATGGATATTATTACTTCTACGCATATTCTAATGCAGTAAACACTTCTTCATGCTAAACTTGTACCTGTAACTCATCAAGAGTATGTGTATTCCTAATGTACAGACTTGCAAGAATGCTGAGGAGATCGCAACAATGGTTATGTAAGTTTATGGCGCTATTAGTTACGTACGTTGCATGAATTCTATCTACTTAGCGATGGTTAACTTTACATGATGTACAAATAAACATCGTAAACTCGCTGAGGTAAATATAGACTTTAGGATGCTTAAATCGAACAGCTTGTCTGAAGTTAGAACTTCTGGTACATGTAATTGTTTTCTTTAATAACCAATCTCTTCATTCTTTTCCTAGGTGTAAATCGTCGTGTACGGAGCAAATGAAGCGTGAACTGAAAGGCTAAGAATCACTCAGGCTGTAAAAGTTTCCAACAGAGTCACAACCTCTGAGGCTACTACCGAGGAAAGCCATGTGCGATTCCCGCAACAAGCTCGCGAAAATGATTTATGCTATATCGTCTAAGTGGAAAATGGGAAACGAACTTATATACCGCCCAGTGTTCGGAAGGGTATCATGCTTGCGTTCTATCTAAGAGGTTCCAGATTTGAACCTCAGTTTGGTCGATGGATTCGCACTTATGATGAAACCCAACTGAGTCGAAACGATCATACAGTGCTCTTCAGTTTACGCTTCATTTCCTCCATATAGGACGGATTCCCCATATGAAATTGAATTAAATTTTCCATTGCTCTCATTTTCTTTCTTATTCTCTTCCCTTCCAAATCCAAAGATTACATAGATTAATTTAGTGAACTTGATCCCTTGAAATTTCTAGCTTACAATGTTTGTGATGTAATCTAAGACGAAATGGAAAGACATAACGCAGTCACTTGACTCGAGGGCGATTTTAAGGCGCAGTTGGACGCGGTCACGATTCCAGGTTTGGGTAGACACGTTCGCTCCGAAACAAAACCTGACTTGGAGACAGTTCATAAATAGGAACCATTTAGCATTGATCTGATCAACTCATCTATCCCTTGAAAGCTGATTTTTGCTATTTCGTAAGGTTTCTGGTTGCTATTAATTCTTAATAATAAGTAAAATTAGCACTCAAATAGCTGGTTAACTGTTGCAAGAACCGAACCGATTTGAAACCCCCCAATTTGTGCTATTAAGGGAACAACTTGACCGTTATGTAATTACAATTATGTGTAGGTATTGTTTGACAGTAAACACGAAATTCTCACTTGTCTCACTTTAGAAATTGTGAATATGCTTAGTAGCGAGCCTCTATTTTAGAAAGCAAATATCTTATGTTCACATTGCCTATGCTGATTACCTTTCTTTGTTTCTGTTTAGTCCCCCGAACAACCTTGTGCGCTTACACCGTCGGAGTTGATGCTTCCACCAGCTTGTTTTGATGGGGCACCCTGTTACCCGCATGTGACCTACGTGACACATATGTCCCGAAACTCCGGCGAGCTGTGTCATTGCTCAAGCGCATCACCCAGTGCAATGGCCAACATGCGTGATCCACAGGTGCTAATGTACTGTGATCTATCCACTGCCATCCGCATAGCATTCATAAGTGTTATTTGATTTTCCTTCAGACGTAGAAATAAAACCTTAGTAGTGTTCCATGAATCGAGGGCAAATCAGATTGTTTTCAGAATTCCATTAAGCATTCATATTTATTCAAATGCAAGTGATAGGTTTGTGGCCAGTTGGCTCTTAACCTGCATATAAGACCTGAGTTGGTGGGAAGCTTTCGATTGGAGCTAACAGATAATCAACTGTGTCTGCCTTCGTTACTGTCGGGCCAGATGGAGCTGACTGACTATCTCTGAAGGTGACACCTGAACCAACATGGATTGGTAATTCGGTTCGGCCCTGGCAGGAACTGGTTGGCACAATGGTGACACACATTTCGTGCGATGGGTTAGGAGCTCAAAGCCCTGACTGGACGGTGGATATGCACTACTTATGAGCTCCGATAAGAGCGAAACTCGAGTCTAGTGCTTCTAGGTTTATGGAAGACCTGAGGATTGTGCGTGAAGGTGAAGTCTGAAGGATAGTCAGTCCCAATCATTCATAGTTTATTTGGACAAAGTTGCAAACTAATTAGATGTTACCGTATTTACTGAACTGACCTTATAACACTTTATTTGCTCATGAGTTGTTGAATAATAATAGCTAGTGTTGGTGTTGGTGAGTTTTCGCAGACGTCTCCTAGCCAAGTTAGGCCTAGCTTGGCTATGAGATATCTGCGAACAACAGTTCGAGCTCGGAGAACTCGCCAACACCAACATTCGTATCCTGAGTTACAATGATGCCACATTATTTCAATAACAGCTAGTTTCAAGTGTCAACCGACAAGACTTACGTTCACCTAAAGACAACGAAAGGATATTTGGTCATTGATGATAGTAAGTTTTGTTCGTGTATCGATCGAGCTATTCAAGCAACTGATAGGACGTTTCTATGTAAGGAAACGCCAGCTGTTGGTGGAGGGATAACTTTAGTCGGTCGCTATGATTCACACTCAACATTTAAATATGAGGCCAATTCGAAATTAGCTGAGGCTTTCAAAGTTTGAAGATAAGGATAAGGGATTCAAATGGCCTACATCGATTTCTCCACATTCTTTATTGTGTCAATTATTTTCTTTCAATTCATACGCTACTAGATAAGTTTGTAAAATCGAAAAATCTCATTTGAAACTCAGGGAGCTGAGTAGAGGCAAACAAGCTTCAAAGAATCGTTGCAATGATTCTGTATTAAGTCTTGGGGGTTAGATGCGTTTAATCTGACCAGACTAATTATCAGATACACACACCTGACGAGCAGCCAGGACAGCAAACACGGTCTTCTGCTTCCGGGAAATTTCTTCCAGTCATTTATATACTAGTCATTGTATTTCTCTATATTAAAGACCGCCTTCAAATACACTTTTCACCTCCACAAGCTGGATTGTTCAGGCACAGATCACCCTTGTGATTCCTGGAAAGTCGTGAATTTGGGATTTTTCCCATTTTTGTGCATCACATAGTGTTTTGCTTTTAAATGGAGCTTCAAATCATTCAGAGTCCACGATAAAAGTTAACAGCAGAAAAAGATTGACGAGATGCATTCAGGTGAATTTCTTCTGATTTTATTCTGTGAAATTCGAATGCTTCATTCTGTTGCACAAAGGAAAAAATGTGATAAAGTTGGTGGTACGTAGCGTTTGTGGGTCTACTAGGTTTGTCTACTTCTTGCAAAAATTGTACTTCAAGATCTTGGTGCATAAATTGATCGGCTTAAGACCGTATTTGCCAAACTAATATTTTCCTGTCCCTAAACCCAGATGTGCTCTAGAAGGTGTGCCAGTTCCTAAAACTGACTCCATTTCTGGTCATTTTCAAAACTAATACAGTTTGCCGCTGTTCGCTTCTGTAGAATACCAGTAAGTCTTCAAGTTGATGCGGCTTGTAACAGCGCCATCAACTCAGGATTAAAGAATCATAAATAACTATTTAAGTATCTATGAATGCAACAAACCCTTCTTTTTCTCATCGTCACTTTTGTATCCCGGTTTTAGCGAAATAAATTTTCGGTAAAAAGGTTTATGAGACCGTTATTCGGATTTGTTCTCAAAATGTGAGGGGGCTATGGTTATCAGGTTTAAAGACGCCTTTCAAACTGTTAGTGAAGACAGATACACACCAGTTGAATATAGATATCGAAATCATATGAATTGCACAAGCGGTCAATATCATTCCGTACCTCGGGTTTGCGTGCCATTCTCAAGTGATAACAATCAGCGATGCTTTCAACACTGTATTAGATCACCCAGGTACAACGCGTTGCTGTTAGATTAAAGCTTTAATCTTCATCCTCTGCTGTGATATATTTAGTTACCATTAATATTGATTGGGTCTATGTAGTACAAGACCTGAGAAATCAAAACGAACAGGTTGACGCAGTTTACATTTGGTGTGCTGCGTACATCTTATTCTTATTCTTCACTCGTGTTCACCTTTCGGTATCATCCTCTTTGGTCGTCAATAATTTTGCCCTGGTCTTAGTTGCATGGTCCCAGCCAGTTTTATTTTGGATATTTTGTTCATTTTCCAGTTTTCCTTAATATATCCTTTCAATATCCCTTGATTGTATTGGTCTACACCTAAAGCAGACTCACTCTACACACGCAATAAACCTGTTGCACTAACCTTTAAGTCTCGTACAAAAATTATCAGTCAGTCCAATTCTGCTGAACCCCATCCGGAATTCCAACCCGCACACGAGGATTCTAATGCCCACCNCGAACTCTTGGTATTTTTAAACGTGGGCACTGCTCTTCTTAGCACACACCTTTACTATCCAATGTTAACTACTAAGGGCTGACTGTTTGGTGCATCCCCAATGTGTGCACGATAAATGAGATCGTGAAAGCACATGGACTGTTTGACAATTTGACCACGTTATTCAAGACCTTGATTACAATTCATGTCTCTAGCCATATCCTCTAGATATTGTTTTTCCTTGTATCACACTCCCAATTCATGCTCGGACGTACTCATGATTTTCAGGCTACCCTTCCTAGCACCATGTCCGCTTCTTATCCGGGATCCGTGATACCACCACAGCCGGGTTCGACGTCCACTGTGAGCCCAGGAGAACCACAACGGAAAGGCTCATGCTCTATGATGCTTGCCAGTATGGCGATGACCGTGTGGTCCAGTAATTGGGTTGATGATGCTGTAACAAGACCTATCCTAGAATATGTGGTAAGTGTACAAGGCGAATTTTGTACGGATATCCTACTGGAGAAATCTGCTAAATAACCTCCCAAATTATGAAGCTAGTTCGTGATGTAGTGAACACCAAAATTATACAAATAAAATTAATCACCACGTAGAAGTCATTCAGATGACACTGGATTGATGCATCACAAATTGAATAATTAATAGTGTCATTGATTTGGTTGAAATTTCAACTAAGCAAAACAATTTAATTGGCATCACTTATTATCTTATGTGTTAAATGAAAGAGGCAACTGCATGCACGGTCAAGACTCGAGGGACACAGGTTGGACTGCAACCCCTGTGGTGCAAACTTTGGATATATCTGAAAGGTTCATATAACAATGTGGGCTGCCCCGGATTTTCATTTCAACAACCTCGTTTGTTTGTGTAGTGCATCCTCCAATTAAATGCTTTCAAGTCGCTGTTGGCTTCGGTCAGATTGAATAAATAGTTTGTCGCCAGTGGGCTAAGACATTGTGTTTGGGAGTTTTTTCGCAGTAAATTCGTTGTTACGATTACACCTTTTCCTGTCAAGCTTTAGCCAAAATCCACAATCCTTTAGCCTTGATCCACAGTCCTGTAGCTAAAATCCCCAATGCTTTAGCCACGACCCGTGGTCCTTTATCCTCGAGGGACAAACTTTAGTCATATTACTGTAAGCAAGTCAGATTCAAAAGTATCAGAATATCCTGAAGTCAACGGATGTTGAAAAAATTTATTTTCTACAAGTGCTGATGTTGCAAAGCTTAGTTAAATAAATAAAAAGGTATGGGGGTCGCACGATGCATCATACGTTGACTGGAAGAGGTTTAACCAATGTGCCCGTATTGTCAAACCATTTGGCACATCTCGTACAATTTCAGTGTTTCCGTCTAACATGCGTTTAACTGTGAGTAAAATTCTCAAGTGTAACAGAAACGGTACATGGTTTTGTATTCACAAGTGAACTCTGGTCATGGATACATAAACATGCAAAGCTGAGTGAAGAAATGAGGTGTGGCGATCGTATGTTGCTCAGCTGACCACCTTAATGGTGAAGAAAGTTCAAACGATGTACCCGTATCATCAAACCATTTGGTACTTTTGGCATGGGTTCAAAGTCTTCAGTGAACCAATTTTTAATGGGATAGATAATGAACAAATTCACTAATTGAAAACATTCATGTATTTGAATTTACTGAAAGCATCTTTTCCTTAACTGCATCAGTGTGGTGTTAAGGTTCTCATCGACAACATCACACAAATGTTTTGTGAATTCGTGGAATTTCGCCCTGAAAGCTGCAGGCTTGAGTGTTATTTGCCAATCAGTTGCTGACATTGCACGACATGTTCTGATCTTCATACTAAGATGCTTTGCAACTTCTTTCAAATCATCACCTTTGCAGGCACATTCACTCGGTCGGTCTTCCGGGCGTGTGAAGCGATAGGGTCATTTTTGACCATCCGATTTAATATTCTCTATATTGCAGATGAGTAGATCAGCACGTAAGGTAAAATATGTATTACTGCCGCCTATCGTGGTGTGCATTTTAAGCCCCATTACCGATGAATCCAATGCTGCATGACGATACTACAAAGAAATTCCAAAATGCGCTACTTCTGTGAGTAAAAATCTCAAACGTAACACAACTAGTACATTTTTATGCATTCACAAGACCTGAAACAAAACAAAAAGAGATACCATAACAAAGAAAATGCTTACTGTTTCGTATGTCTACCTATAGTGAACCCCATTCTTGAGATGTGGGATACAATAACAGACAGAAGAAAATGAAATTAACTTTGCTGTCATCGATTTATTAACGCTGCAACATTTTACACAATTACCACGGTCGAGAATTATGGATTTTGTCTGAAGGTTGATGGGAAAAGCTCTAGTTATTACACATAGGACGTATTATACGTATCTACTATTCTGCTACCTTGCCACACCGTCTGCAGTTGTTGCCCCATGGTGGAATTGGTTTCGTAGAGATTAGCATCCGCCGTGGAGACGAGCTATGAAAACTAAGCGCGTAGATACGGTGGAGCAGTGTTTTCCCATCTGTCAGGCTGAGGTGTAAAATAATCCGCATAGTGACTCAGAATAAACTAGGGATATGGAATCAAACCAAAATCAACGGAATTTTTGATCATTTCTTATCAGGCCAGATAACTTGATCAAATATATATGTAAAATTAGTTTGAGTTGGCCGTAATGGTCCAGTTTTTCTTCCCCTCCGTCAAAGCAGTTGCCGTTCCTATCTACCCTGCACCTTCGTGCGTTGCACGCATTATGAGCTTTGAAGTGATCAGTTCAGTTTATATCATAGCATTTCATTGTACCATATTCACTGCATATATTTTCAAGTACTGTTATTGTAATATTTATGTCGGATAGCAGTGGAAATGTTTATCCTCAATCGTTTATTTCATACGCACCCAAACTTTGCTGCAGCCTGCTAATGAAGCGCAAGCTCGTCCTTCTATCAACAAACCTCCCGTGATTCGCAGAGCAATTGACGAGTACACTGAACCGGAGCAAGCTGAACCACCTCCAAGAAGTCCCGTAAGTACGGAAAGGTCCGAGCCTCGGTCGCTTAGTCCCGTGTCCCCAGTGCCAATCCAGATCCCGTTTATTCCATGGAGATCATTCTCAACACCAGCGACACCCCCTTGCTTGTCAATTGCACCGGTCATGTGTACACTTAATTCCAGACAGGTATTTTGCGCTTAAAACGTTATTTTGTTTCAAAATTTTTGTTTTTTAGTTTTAGGTTAAACAATATCGATGAGAAAATATGCCATCTGAATTTTTGTTACGAATACACTCATTTGAAAGCATTACGATCACCAAATGTTGTGATTTTTCCATTGGGAATGAACCATTGCTTTCACATTATGTCAGTGTTAGACCCCAATCTGGTTTCCATCTTGGCTTATTTGTATATCTGATAGTATACCTTAGCATTGGAGACTTGGATGTGATCATGTTTGAGCATACCAAACGTGAGCTGAAACGCATCCCAGTCAACCACATCGCGGATGAATTTGGAAATATCATACTCCCAGCGTAGCACTGATCATTATGTATATATTATATATTATCTTATAAAAACTGGTGTTCATGTTTATCTTTGTTTGTATATTATGTACTCCTTTAAATGCTATGAATAATTTCCTCAGTACCCTTTTCTATATATTAGTGATACACATAAATAGAGCTAAATCTAACGGATTAAAGTGTACGAATGAGCTCATTATCCCGTTTGACTATTAATTGTTCAACTATATATTTATTTGACTGCCAATAAATTTTTAATTTCTGCTTGTCATGCACCCTAAAATTTATTTACATCCAATGTACTCGATTTATCATCATAGCCTGCACCCATGTTTGGTGAGCAAGTCCGATGCCCTGTTGGGGAACACACGTACATGCATTCGATCTGTGACCCGGTGCATCCCACACCAATTTTGACTGTACCCCCAAATAGCGGTTCTCTGTCAGCCATTGGTCACACTTGCCCTGCTGTGTATTCGAACTCTCCTGCCTATATTCAAGTTCAAACACAAACTCCATGTCTGAGCGGGCGTTATCCTACCCTGATGCCGGTGAGCGACTTTCCTTTGTGGTAATTTTGCCAAATGTCAGGACAAAAGACTCTATTGCCCGATTCGTGGGTTGTTTAACGTTAAAAATGGAGCTAGACGTGTCAAAGATTTATGGTCTATTAGGAAAATGGAACAAGTGTATCTGTTAAGAAAAGTGGACTGTTGCAGGTTCAGCCGTATGTCTTTTGAGAAAATTTCATGAGAAACTAAATTTGACTGGCTAAGTACTTCAGTTGACACAATTACAATCGGTGTTCAGTTTATTGAAACTGTCGGAACTTACTTGGGCTTTAATCAGCGCGTACTTAAGCATGTCAACACGTTTTATGATTATTACAATTATTTTAATCATCATTGTTCGAATAATCAATGTTTTTGGAACGACCTCGGTGTTATTGCATGAATTGGGTTGGGTTGGGTAAATATCATGAACGCTAACAAACGAACGAGAACTGATAATTTATTTTCTATTCAGATGATATTTCTGCAGAGTGATCATCCTACTAGGTTTATTCGTATGCTTACCTTAGCTGGTTTTACATGATGTGATGCGGCGCAGAAACGAGACTTTTTTCAACACGCTGGAGTTAGCATTGTTAACAAACCTGAACGTCATTCGATCATCCCCCAATCTACGACAAAAACTGCAATCCACTTTGGAAACTAAATCTTTTGTTGTTCCTGGATGAAGTGACTGATCGGCTGTGGCGGATTCCAAAAGAAAAATAGGGACGCATTCTATGTCTCATCACTCGCCTCACTTGTGTATTCATTTATTTTAGGTCAATATTACCAGTGATTATTATTATTATTATTATTATAGATGTTCAAAAGCATTCCATTAAATAGACTATTGTCAGATCAACTTCCAGCGGGAGAATGTGCCCAAACAAAGGATGAAAACTGGACTTTTCCCCTTTTTAATGAAATGAATATTTCATTTCACTCAGTGTCACTTGAGGACACCGTTACCGTCACTTTGGGGTACCGTCTGATAAAGTAATTGAGTGAATGGTAGACGTGAATCATAGACGAACTATAGAAGAGGAGCCTACAGAGAGGCGGTTTTTGTGAATGTGTAACTATCTGAACGTGTGCAGTTTATTTCTCTAGGTCCATTCAAAGCAATTTATGTAGTTAGACAAAATGTTTAAGTAGATAAAACATATTGCCTGATCAACCTCATGTTCTCATGACAACTTTGGCACCTGAAAACCGAATATTGGAGGATTTTCAAGGACTAGGTACCGTGACAAATTTCTACAAACAAACCAGAAGGTTTATCAAACCAATCTTTACAACTATAACTGTAGTCAAAACATCTATCAGTCGTGCTTCTGAGAAGGGTCGTCATTACTATCCTGTCTCAAGGCCAACGTGTCTAGCTGGATTACGTCAAATCTATCCGATCTGCGGAAACCGTCGTAGAATCACGGTATTCATTCTACAAAGGTTCGAATTGTGATTTTGGTAAGTAACCGATTTGACGTAGACCAATTGTGAAAAGGTCAAAGTTGTTAATGTAGTTCGGCGGCGTAGCTCGTAGATCAAACATCTCAGAAAGGCATAAGCTGGGTTTGAATCCCAACGTGGCTCTTGATCTTGCCAAAATCCATATGTGAAAAATTGTTTCCGAAATAGGTTTGCCTCGAACTTACTCCCTAAGGTGCAAATGTTGAAATTTTGGCGCAATATGTGGGTTTAGTCGGCTTGCAAGATTAAAAATAAAGGCCTAGTTGTCAGATGTATCACACAGATATGGTGAGTGGACAAAATGAAAATCAAGATTAGCATAGATCGTATGCATCTCGCTCCAATGATCTCATGATCGATGAGTATTTTTTGATCACTTAGGAATTATGAGCACCTCCTAAATATGATTTGCGCATATATAATGGCCATTCACTAAGCTCATTGATCACAGCCAATTTCAGTTCTTACAATCGACGGAAGTGATGGAGAAACTGCAGTCACTAAAACTATCGAAACTATTTGATCAAACGTAAGTGGTGTCCGACTCATTGCCTCCGCGCGTGGAAATACGTAAATGTGTGTATGCTATCTACTTCTGACCTTCTCGTCATGGAAGAGCATTTGACAAGCTATGCCCCAAAAGACTTTCTGAAGTTGAAAAAATAAAACCTGGTACCGCGTATTCCCCCAAAATACTATATCCAAACAGAAATAAGATGTGCACCACTCAGTACTCGTTAACTTCAGCATGAAGGTACGAAAACCCTGGCTATATGGCTTGGGCATGTGATTAGCATTAGCCCCTCCGATTGAAGACTTCGGGACCAACGTAATCGATAACCGGAGACGCTGAATGATACCGCTGTGTATCATGATTAGTGCTACCCACGCATCTACCAAACTTCATTCATTTTCCTTGCATTGTTCAATCAGGGCGGGATCAACGGAGCTACGACAGTCACGACATTAACCAACGGGGTATCATATCCTTGTCCATATCGAATAATTCGAACAAGTTGCAGTAGTCCATGCCTGGCTCCGCGTCACCTACCCATTTCTCATCCCAGGACAATCGTGCACCGGAACCCAACCAACTTGATGATCCCCTCAGGTCATGAGAACCACGTTACGAATCTGACATTCCCTATGCCAGTTGGGTGTTATACTTTACATTTGAACCGAGACTCGGAATCTCATCGGTATTGTCCTGAAGTCATATCAACTCAACGTCGTTCCAGCTCCGCCGTGAATGGTCCACCATCAACCATGGGGGGGTTACCTGAACCATTCTACGAGCGCCCAACGTCCCCAGCACCTTATCCCTTGAGTGTGCCGAACTCCAATCGTGGCACTCATGATGTGAGTTTCCTTCTAGATCTATGTTAGTATAATATATGAGTGTCGCATTTTCTTGTATGGCAGTACAAATAACGAACATTAGTGATTGTGCGATACTTGGAACGCTTCACTGAACATGCCGTCAGAGTTATGATAGTACGAAACTTAAGAATGTATTCAAAACTATACCTCACAGGCATGCACTCGATGCTTAGCATGAGAAATGATCTACCATGATTCAAAAGCATAGAATTGTAAATCAGTTGTTCCCACGCATTTATATGAATACCAACTGGAAAGCTATGCAATCTTTTTTCTAAACAAGTGTTCTGACCTTACATAACTGGTCACCGCCTTGGGTATTTGCAGGAACGGTTGCAGTCCTCAAATGTTCTCCACCTGCATGGAATTGAGTGAATTCTATATCAGAACTATTCACTTTATTCATCATTATTTTAGTAGTAGTACCATCAGCTGTGCATTTCCACTGAACAGGGCGAGTTTACACTAGCAGTTAAGCTGGAAAGTAATCCGTAAGATAGTGTCAATGGCAAAGCGAAAGACGAACAAATTGTTTGGCCTCTACTAAAGACAATGAACGTTTGTCCCGAAACCCTACCTATCTCCTAATATGCTTAGGCTCTTGGGAGATTTGCTGCACACATTGATGTGAAGAGTAGTAAACAGAGGATGAATCCTAAAATCACAACGATTCATTGTTCGGTCACAGAAAACAGCAGCCGGAAACCTGAAAATTGGAGTGGCGAATCACATGAAGTTCAATGGGATAGGCCCGAAGGATATTTTCAATGTGATCCTTGTGGAGGAAAAATTCTCATTCTTCGTCCCGGGTACAACGATCACTGTTGTTTACATTCCCAAGGAATAAGAATAGCTCTCTATGGCATACAAGCTAAAGATATGCACAGCTTGAGGATGCAATAAATGGCGTACTCTGTTCAGTATCACGGGTAGCAAGTATAGCTGTCTGGTCTTCTTTTTAAGTAGACTAACTCCTTGTCCGTACAGTAGTTTCGAACCAAATAAAACACAAGTTAAACAATATTACAATTTCTCCCTCCTTTTTGTAATCAAACCGAACACAAAGGCATCCCCAAGGTCATCCATCCGATACACGAATCACGGAAGACAAACGAGTCATAGACGATCCCATCCGAATTCTCGACGAAGACCTCCGGGTTGACGAATGTACTGGATGAACAAACAGAAATATGTATGGAATACTTCGTGCTTGTGTCTACACCCGACTTTTAACCATTATTTAGTGCACTGTGTTTCTAGTGTGCATGAGACCCACAACAAGTTGTGCGTGTACGATTTGGCCGCGGTGTACACTCACACAAGCCCTCATTACAGAGTGGGGCACACGTCATGTCAATCGTTTTACTTTTCTCTTTATAAATGGGTTGGGCCATTTTCGTACTTCGCAAGCACACGATCAAGGCGAGCAACTGAAAGCACGTAGTCGACGTGGTACAACTGTATGAGACAGCAGTGGATGGAGTGTTTAAATGAACAACGGATACCAATCTCGTGGGATTGCAGACAACTCAAGCCGGTTTCTGTCTACGGATGTAACTGCTCATAATTGTTTAGTACTGATATATCCAGCGACGACAACCGGCACGAC